TCTCCCTCTCTCTCTGCCCCTCCCCCGTTCATGCTCTGTCTCTCTCTGTCCCAAAAATAAATAAATGTTGAAAAAAAAAACAAAACACACACACACACATCCCTTCAGTTAGTACACCCTTTTCCTATTCTAACTAACATCAACGAGAAATCTACATTTTTCTCCCCACAGTTTCAACCTACAGGTGGACTTCTTTTTTTTTTTTTTTTTTTTTTTATTTTTTTTTTTTTTTTAGAGAAGGAGACACAGAGTGCAAGCAGGGGAGGGACAGAAAGAGTGGGAGACACAGATCCGAAACAGGCTCCAGGCACTGAGCTGTCAGCACAGAGCCTGATGCGGTGCTCAAACCCACAAACCATGAGATCATGACCTGAGCCAAGGCTGGATGCTTAACCTACTGAGACACCCAGGCGTCCCTGAACTTTTAACAGAATAGTCTGAAGAGCACCAATGGTTGGCTATATACACGTGAAATCAATCTGTGCTCCTTGGTTTTCTTCCTGCAAAATAAAGTCAAAATGGATATAGTACTCCTTCCTAGCCCCCAAACTCAATGAAAGTCTCTAGAGCACAGGTTCCCAAGCTCTCTAGGTTCATGACACCCTCGGTATTTCACTAAGTTTTTTCACAGCAACACTAAACCAAGAAATACTAACAGTTCCACTTACCAAGTCGTTAGCAGCAATTTGAAAAACTAATCTACTTTAGCTGAAAAATTTTTTTTTTACTTCATTCCAAAATAATCACATTTACTTACACAATGCATATTATGGTTGGGCAATGAACAACTTCTTAAACCTTGGAATCAAATCGGACACTGCTATCCTGATTTCCTATTCCTCACTGATTTTCATGCAGTATTTACATTTTGTCACAGCAACCCCCCAAAACCCAACTTTACAAAGATACATCACCCAAAGGAATACAGCATAATCTAATGTTCAAATCAGGAGTTATGTCAGGTAGTAGTTTACCTGGCAACCAACAGATGTCAAATACTGCTGCATCTTCCTTGAAAATTTAAACTACCACATGGTGCCTCTATAAATTGGTAGCAATACCCTGGAGTATTTTAGTGCAATCTGGGAAATATGGCCCTATGGCAAGGTATTCTGTAATTTTCTGGCTTTAGACTCAGACCTAGGTTAGAAATCAGATTCTACCAATAACTATATAATCTTGGGCACTGGGCAGTTGAATCAAACTCCTGAACCTTAGTTCTATGCCTGCCCAACAGGAGTAATAGTACTAACCTCAGAGAATAGTTGTGAGGAATGAGATGATGTCTGCACACAGTAAATGCTCAATAAATGCTACTTATTATTATATCATTCCAACTTAAACCAAATTTAATCATTAACTCTCTGGAGGATAAAGGAAGCTTTCTAAACTAAAGTCACAATGTCAAATAAAAACTTAGGAACAAATTTTTCGGGAAAAGACCATAAAGTGCTTAAACAAGGACAATATAGAGAACTACAAACTCCTCCAAAGGATGTCATCACGTTGCTATACCTATCACAAAAAATGAGGAGGTGAAAAGTCTTAAACTGGCAACTCAAAAGAATATACTTTCAAAAGCACCTTTTAAAGGATAAGCACACTAGAAAAAACAAAGAATTTTATAAACTAGGATTCTTTATGTAACATTAAGAATGGTCTTTTAAAAATAGTTAAATTTTACACAGAGCAAAACTCATTTGATTATAACAAAGACTTTTCCCCAAGAGTATAATAGCTCACACCCCTATTCTCACAACGTACTAGAATTTAACATTTTAATTCCAAATACACTTGTAGATCTTCTCTCATAAACATCTTTAATAAAATTTGTAATACAAGAATACTTCAAGCGCTTAGTTTATGAAAGGATTTTTGAAATATTTCATTTGATCCTGAGATAATTATCTCTATTTACTGAAGAGACGAGGTCCATCAAAATTAAGTAATTTGCCCTACAACTTATATATTACTGTTCAGGGCGAAAACCCATGTCTTTTAACTTTTTCTAGTATACCACAACTCCTTCATAAAAAGACTCAGTTCAAATCTTGTTAGTTTGGCCAGTGTTGTTTTATCCAACTGTTACAAGTAGGTTAACCATCATCAAAGGCCTGAAAATCTTTTCCCTGCACAGTAATGGCATTTCACCTGCAAGACTTTTCATTTGCCAAGCATCTTGAACTGTATAACATTAATTAATAATTATTCTTAGGTAACATCATGACAAGATCTATTATTATAGATGTAACTATACCAATGGTAATGAAGTGGCTGAGCCCACTGGTACAATTTCCCAGCCCAGAATATTTCTCATTTTTCATTTAGTACATGGCCCATTGTTCAATTCTAGATAGAAAGGTAACATGAACTAGTAAACTGACCCTGATATTTTTTCTTCTATAACTAACAAGCCAAATGCAGTGGCCAAAATACTTAAAAAGAATGGAAGGCAAGCAAACTTGTATACCACCCAGAATGCAATGCCATCACAGGTCTATGCCTGCCTTTCATCTTGGTCCAAGAAAATTCCAAAAACAATCTGCCAGCAATTGTTTCCCCAAATTCCCAAATTTCTCCCAGATACATACATTACTATCATTTCCAACAGTATCCTAAAAGCAACTAAGGCATTCTATTTCAGTGACTACTTCTCTAAAACTTGAATATAAATACAATTTCATAATAAAATACCTATATTGGGGAGCTTAACTTCTAAAGAAATTCTGCAGGAAGTCTTTATACAATGTAACTTATCACACTCTTATTTCATACTACATTAAAAAAACTACCTTTTTATATGCCAGAGTTTAAGGGTAAATTTGGGCAGGTAAGAAGGGATATGTGCCTGTACCATAAACGCTGTATTAATTTGAGTCTTTGGTAGTCATAACATCATTTTCTCTACAGCTAATATTTTGAAAAACTTCACACTCGGACCCTTCCTGGCAATGTAAATAAGACTGTTAGCAGAAACTTCTTCATTTCCATGGAGAATTGAAGAGCAACCTTGCTTTCTTAGAAAGGAAACAGCTATCTGTCTTATACAATACCCCGTCCACTTTAGCCACCTAATACGGACCAAAAAAAAAGGTCTGGAAAACGTCTCTTTTCCAGCCAAGGGCTGTTCCCAGATAAAGGCAATGCTTAGAATACAGAGAGAAAACAAAACAAAACAAAAAAAACCTTCGAGGGAAGAAATACGCCAAGGAAGGAGAGCCATGGATCAGAAATAAATAAGGGGTGAGTGTACGCGCTCAGTGTAAGGGCCGGAGGCAGCAGGCACAGAGCTGAGATGCTCCAGCGAAACAACCAGCAGCAGCAGCAGGAAGTTTCAATGGGGCCGGGCAGAGCATGCGCCCTGCACCCGCGCGGTGGCCTTATGTGGAAGGAGCACCACTTGCGAACACCAATAATAGACCAGCAGCACCAGAGAGAGAAACATGAGCAACAAGCACCTTCTTCAACTGTTTCCCCCTCCGTCTGAGCCCCTCCTCCAGCCTACATACTAACCACCCCACCCCACCCTGCAAATGGGAGGGCGACTTCTTCCCCTAAGCCCCGCTGCCAAGATGAAGGGGGAAGGGATTAGAAAAGTGGGGAGATGCTTTTCTATTATTTGGGGGGAGGTGGGGAGAAGGAGGAGGAAAACTATGGGGGAGGAAAAATTAACCCTCTAACCTCCAAAGTGGAGAGATGCTGCCGACTTCGACCCCCAAAGCGAGAATGGAGAAGGACCCTCTCCCATGGAGGAGGAGCAAACCTCCCTACTCTGAGGAAGGAGTTTTGGGGGTTAAACTGGCCCTCGAGGGGAAAGGAAGAGAGACGCGAGCCGACTCTCTCGGGGGAGTTCCCACTAGAGGGAGGGAGAGCTGAAGTGTCCGCTGGCCCCCGCCCACCCAGGTGGAGGGAGAGAAAGGGGCGCCCCGAGAAGATGAGCCCAGCCTCCCCCGAGATGGTCGGGTGGATGGTGGGAGGAGGGGAAGGAGCAAGGCAAGGGAGGAGGAGAAAAGCGCAAAGCTGGCCGGAACCTGCGCTCCCCTTCCCCCGCCACCCAGGGGGAGAAGGGGTGGAGGACCGGCCCCTGCCAGCGGGGAGCAGTCCCAGGGGCCGCCGATCAGCACAATGACCCCTCCACGCCCCCAGCCCACATCTAGCCCGCGACGCCCCCACCTCCGCTCGGCGCCAGGCCCGGTGGCCCTAGGGGGTCTCTGCCCCGCCTCCCCACTGCTCAAGACCCTGGGGGCTGGGCGGAGAGGCCAGGCCGGGCGGAGCTGCGCCCCAGGGGAAGGACAGAGCCGCGGAGGCCCGGGATATCCGTGAACAGCGGAGAGAAGGAGCGTGCCAGGGCCGCTTCCCGCCGGGCGTTCGGGCCCCTCGCTTACCTTCTCCACTGCCGACGTCCGGCGGCGGCGCCTGCAGCACCCGCTCCAGCTCAGGGAACGGCAACTCAGGCAGGTCGAGCAGCGGCCCGTAGCGCTCCAAGAAGGAGCAGACTACGGCGAAGTTGGGGCACGAACCCGGGCAGCCCGGAGGAGCCATCGCGGCCGCCGCTGCTGCCGCCGCCGCCATTTTGAACTGGAGGATGGAGGAGGAGGCGATGGGGGGGGGGGGTGGAGGGAGTTAGGTGCCGAGGAATGGCAGGGCAGCTTTACAGACAACAGGAGGCGCTAGTGAGTAGGCTCTCCTGCGGATCCGAGCGTCTCAGGCACGGCGCCGCGATCCCACAATACAACGGCTGCTCGGAGCAGTCGAGAACCCAACCAGACGAGGGAAAGAGAGGCGCTCTGTGCCTTTCACTTTCCGCCCTCTTTCCGCCCCCTTCCCTCCCTCTTCCTCGCCCCTCCCACTTTGGGTTTGCCACAGCCTCGTGTGACAGGGGGAATGAAAACAAGGGAAGCGGGGCAGGGAGGAGGACTGGAAGCTTGAAGAGGCGGGACTTTTTAGGAGTGGTGGCCAATAGTCTTGGAGGGGGCGGGGCTTATGGCGACGACTGGCTGAAAGGCTTTTTCGGGGCGGGGCGAGTGGGGGGAGCTCTTAGCCAAGAGGGCCTGAACCAACCAAGGTGAGAGGTAAAGCGCGGAGCGGTGTGGGATCGCAACTCTCGTGGAGAGAGGACGTTGGGTGAGTTTTGTGGGAGCTCCGGGATCTAAAACCCGGCCATCAGATGGTGGGGGAAGTTTAGGAGAGTGAATAAGCAGCAGAAAAAGAGGAGAATCGAAAAACACGGTTCTGGGAGAAGGTTGGAAAGGGGAAAGGCTGAGAAGTGCTCTTAATTAGGGATTGGAGTGAGACCTTTGTAAGAAGTGCCTGCGAAGCTTTGCTGAAGGGTATTGCTGTCTGCTGGGGCACAAGAATCGTAGCTATACTGAAAAACAGGGTCTGAGGGCTCTGGGGGACGAGGACCTGAGGGAATGAGGCTCTGCGGGGATCACCTAGCTGAGGAATCGGGGCCCTGCAAGGAGATCAGGGTCTAGAAGGGACCAGGCAGGCTCTTCAGGCCGACCAAGGTGTGAGGGGACAGGGCCCTGCTGTGGTTGCCAAGGTGTGAGGGGAAGGGACTCTTGAGGCACAAAGATCTTATAGGGGACCAGGGTCAGTTGGTGGGCTAGGACTCCACTAAGAAAACGGACAGGATAGCGACTTGGTGCAAGAGCAAAAACTTTGTTAGAAGACAAGGTTCAGTTTCATTGGGGCAGCAGTGCTCATTCTCCCACAAAGAATCTCAGAAAACTATCAATCTTGCAAAGTAGAATGTGCAGCTTGGAATGTAACGGTGCGTTATGGTTAGGAGCCTGAGCTTTGGAAGTCAGCCAGACTTGGGTCCTAACAGAACTGCTTCAGGACATTACAGAAGATTCTTCATTTCTTTGAACCTCTGTGAAGTGGGGGTAATAAATGTACTTAAATGGTAGGATTTTACTAGGTATTCACAGTAAATTGACTAGCGCAATCCCTGGCACATTCACTAGAACTATTTTTAAAACATTAGTTGCTATTATTGAACAAAGGAATTTCTAAAATTTAGATTGAATTCAGCCATAATTTATATAGTCTACTACTTTGAGCCAGAATTTTCAGCGTGCATTTAAAACTTACATAGTACCTTTTTAAAAAGAATTTGAAACAAGGTATAATATAAACCGTGTAAAATAGGACAATTTATGATGAAAGGAAGATAAAGATATACAGTACAGGCAAATAATTATATTGGGAACAGAAAATGCTTACAATTATTGAATTTCTGTGTTTCTAGGGGGAAAAAAGCACAATGCTCTACATCATTCTCATTATCTAAAGAAAAATATTCATTTTTGTCAAGGGAGGAAAAATAAATCTAGATTGTAAGTTCAATGTGTAACCTACAATACTGACTCCTAATCCTGAGTAATACACAAACTCTTTTTAAAGGGAAAAATGTTTTTTTGAAATTTCTCCAATACTCTTGAAAATTACATTTTAAGAAATACTGCTGTGAAAAATTAAAGTCAACACAACAGTGTGACTATACTTCATGCCACTTAAGTATACACTTAAAAATTATTGAAAAGGGGGGTGCCTGGGTAGCTCAGTCCATTGAACATCTGACCTGATCTCAGCTCTTTTTTTTTCATCTTTTTTAATTTAAAGATTTTTTTTTTAAGTTTATTTATTTTGAAAGAAAGAGAGCATGCAAATGGGGGGGAGGGGCCGGGGAGAGGTGGAGAGAGAGAGAGAATCCCAAGCAGGCTCCATACCATCAGTGTGGAGCCTGATGCGGGGCTCAAATTCACCAACCATGAGATCATGACCTGGGTTGAAACCAAGATGTTCAACCAACTGAGCCACTCAGGCTCCCCTTTTCAAAATTTTTTAAAGTTTATTTATGGGTGGGGGGGGAGAAGAGCGTTTGTGGGGGAGGGGCATAGAGAGAGGGAGAGAGAATCCCAAGCAGGTTCCACGCCGAGAGTCCAGAGATGGACACAGGGTTAGATCCCACGAACCACAAGCTCTTGGCCTGAGCCAAAATAAAGAGCCAGAAGCTCAACCTACTGAGCTACCGGCACCTCTCTCAGCTGACTCTTGATCTCAGCTCAGGTCATGATCTCAGGGTGTGAGTTCAGGCCTCAAGTTGGACTCCATGCTGGGCTTATGAAGCCCACTTAAGAAAAAAAAATGGTTAAAGGGGTAAATTTTATTTTATGTATATTTTGCCACAATGAAAAAATAAAAAACAAAAAAGAAAGTCTTACTTTAGGAAAACATTTATAGTTGTGACTTATCATAGCAAAAGAAAAGTTTTTATTTAACGTATAGTAAAATAAGTTTTTTAAGTAATACTGCTTAAACACAAATTGAAATTAAAACATATTGGTAGAACTTTCAGATACATCTATGTATCTCTAGACCTGGGGATCTGAAGACCCCATTTTAAGAAAAATCTGACCTAGAACACATCTTTAACAACAGTTTTGCAGAAAGAGACAAAAATTTTGATAAGGTCATTACTTAATTGACCTTAAATAAAAAGTCCACTCCCATCTTGATGTAGCCAGTGCACATGCTGCCCTCATTATTTATTTTGAATATAGCCCTAGCCTATAGCAATATTTTTTAAACACTGGGTCATGACCCATAGTTTTAAAATCAATGTGGTGGATCAAGACCAGAATTACATTAAAAATGAAAAAGAATGAAAATAGAACAGTGCTAAAAAAATAGAACAGAAAATAGTGTGTATCATCTATAGTAAGGATAAGTATAAGTATATTGCAAGAAATATTTATGAGATATGTATGTTTGCCAGCGTGTATTATGACATAAAATGTATTTGTTGCTGTGGTTTAGACAAAGAGTTTGAAACACATTCCCTTACCTTTACATGTGGAGGAAAATAAATGAATGAATGTCTGGATGAATGAACAAATGGGATCTTTATCTCTTGATTATGACAAAGGAAATAGATATTATTGGGTAAAATTCCTGCTTTAATATCACACTCCTAGATGACATCTAAGCATGAATACAGTAGCTATCGTATATTTTTCATTCAGTAAAATTGTATATGCCAGGCACACCAATTTTCTAAGTACCAAGCAGAACTAGGTTGCAAAAGTATTTCTTTAGTACTCTTAAGATGATATTCGGATATCTGGTGAATCATTAAAATAAATTGTGTCAAAATACTTTAATTTGCAAGTAAAAGACAAACTGGCTTAAACATAAAGGAAATTTATTACCTTACATAACTGAAAAGACCAGTGGTAGGTCATGCTTGAGGTATGGTCTAATCAGGTGGTAAGTCTGTTTCTCAGTATTTCTATTTAGTCTTCCTATTCATGGGTTGAATCTTCAGACCGATTTCCCTCATAGTACTAGCAGTTTCAAGGTACTTTCCTATATTCTATACATCCCAGCCTCAATATCTCAGAAGCTCCCCAAAAAAGTCCCCAAACTGACACTGATTGGTCCATCTCTGCTCTCACATTCAACCATGAGCCTGTGTGCCCAGTGTAGAAAGTGAAAGTAGAATGTACTGAATGCATTAGCCTAGGTCAATGCTTCATTCCTACAGCAAGATATACAAAGGTCAGTGCTTCATTCCTAAAGCTAGAGGTTTATCAAAACCACATGGAATCAATACATCAAGAGCCCTAATACACAAGATGCAAAAACTGACAGAACTGGAAGGAGAAATAGAGGAATTCAACAATACTACTTGGAAACTTCAATACTCTACTTTCTTTTTATTATTATTATTATTTAAGTTTATTTTTGAGAGAGAGATAGACAGACAGAACATGAATGGTGGAGGGGAAGAGAGAGGGAGATACAATTTGAAACAGGCTCCAGGCTCCAAGCCGTCAGCACAGTCCCCAACATGGGGCTCAAACTCACGAACTGCAAGATCATAACCTGAGCCGAAGTTGGACACTTAACCCACTGAGCCACCCAGGCGCCCCAATTCTCCACTTTCAGTAATGGTCATCTAGGACAACTGAGCAGACTGTAAACAAAGAAATTTGCTTGAAAAACACAACAAAATCACTAGATTTAACAAACATCTATGGATACTGCATAACAATAGCTGAATACACATTTTTCCCAAGTACACATGGAAAATTCTCCAAGATAAACCATGTGCTAGGGCATAAAAAAGAAGACTCAACAAATTTAAGCATGGTGAAATTATGCCAAACATGTTCTCCAAACATGGAATTTAGCCAGAATAAAAAACAGAAGAAAATTTGGAAAATTAATTTGTATATGGATGTTAAGTGACACACACCCAAATAACCAATTGTTCAAAGAAGAAATCATAAAATTAGAAAATACTTTAAGATAAATAAAAATGAAAACATAAAAAAAAAAAAAACAAAACTTAGGGGATACACCTAAAACACTACTTAAAGAGAAATACGCTATATGTAAATGCCTATATTTAAGAAGATGATTTCAGAAGCTCCTGGGTGGCTCAGTGGGTTATGAGTCAGGTCATAATCGACTTCAGCTCAGGTCATGATCTCTAGGTTCTTGCATTCAAATCTTGCATTGGGCTCTGTGCTGACAGCTCAGAGCCTGGAACCTACTTCAGATTCTGCGTCTGTCTGTCTATCTGTCTCTCTCTCTCTCTCTCTCTCTCTCTCTCTCTCCCCCCCCCCCGCTCACGCTCTCTCTCTCAAAAAAATAAACATTAAAAAAATTTTTTAAAGATTATTTCAAATCAATAACCTAAGTTTCCATCTTTATAAAACTGGAAAACAGCAAACTAAACACAAAATAAGTAGGAGGAAGGAAATGATAAAGATTAGCATAGATATTCATGAAAGAGAGAATAGAAAAATAGAGAAAAGCAACAAATCCAAAAATTGATTCTTTGAAAATAACTACAAAATTGACAAGTCTTTAGCTAGACTGGCAAAGATGAAAACAGAAAAGTCAAGTAACTGAAATCAACAAGGGGACATAACTACAGTAATTTTTAAAAAGGATTATAAAGGAATATTATAAATAACTGTTTGCCAGCAAATTAGATAATCTAAGTGAAATGAATAGAACAATACAAACTACTGAAACTCAAAAAACAGTAGAAAATCTGAATGGAATTATAACTAGTAAAAAGATTGAATTAGGAATTTGAACCCTACCACACCCCCCAAAAAAAGATCAAGAAAGACACCAAGAGTTCTAATGCACAAAGAAAAGGCCATGTGAAGACAAAGTAAGGAGAAATCCATCTGCAAGCCAGAAGAGAGGTGTCACCAGAAATCAACCCTCTTGGCACCTTGATCTTGGACTTCCAGCCTCCAGACTGAGAAAATAAATTTCTGTTTTTTAAGCCACTCAGTTTGTGGTATTTTGTTATGGAAGTTCTAGCCAACTAACACAGAAGTCTTTTTCTTTTTTTTTTTTTTTTTTAATTTTTTTTTTTCAACGTTTATTTATTTTTGGGACAGAGAGAGACAGAGCATGAACGGGGGAGGGGCAGAGAGAGAGGGAGACACAGAATCGGAAACAGGCTCCAGGCTCTGAGCCATCAGCCCAGAGCCCGACGCGGGGCTCGAACTCACGGACCGAGAGATCGTGACCTGGCTGAAGTCGGACGCTTAACCGACTGCGCCACCCAGGCGCCCCACAGAAGTCTTTTTCAATACTCATAGCAATTCATTATACTTCCCTTATAGCAATTTTCAAAAGTTACTTAATATTTTTAATTTTTTTTAATGCTTATTTATTCCTGAAAGACGGAGCATGAATGGGGGAGGGGCAGAGTGAGAGAGGGACACAGAATCTGAAGCAGGCCCCAGGCTCTGAGCCGTCGGCACAGAGCCCGATGCAGGGCTTGAACTCACGAGCCACGAGATCATGACCTAACCCAAGTCAGACGCCCAACAGACTGAGCCACCCAGATGCTCCAAAACTGAATATTTTAGAATACATTGTTGGAAGCCTAGATTCTGATGTTCCCCCTGCCCATTATTGTTCTTTGTACTTAGTCACTTGCTTAGACTAAATCTGTAAATTCTGTCTCTCATGCAATGTGTGGCCACTGAAATCTGTTTTTAATTTTTATTCATTTATTTTATTTTTTTAGTATATTTATTTTGAGAGAGAGAGAAAGAGAGAGAGGATCCCAAGCAGACTCCATGCTGCCAGTGCAGAGCCTGATGGGGGGCTTGAGCTCATGAACTGTGAGAACATGACCTGAGGGTAAACCAAGAGTCAGACACTTAAGCGACTGAGCCACCCAGACTCCCCTATTCATTTTTTTTTAAGTTTATTTATTTTTTTAGTAATCTCTGCACCCAATGTGGGGCTCGAACTCATGATCTCAAGATCAAGAATCGCATGCTCTTCCAATTGAACCAGCCAGGTGCTCCTTAATTTCTCTTCCTGTTTTTATTTTTAAGTTCGGCTTCCTACATAGCTTAGTATTCAGTCAAAGAAAGACTGTGTTCAAACAACTCAAGCCAGTAAGACTTTCACTCTACTGGTGGGTCAGTGTGTGCACTGGGGAGTACCTTCAATGTTCATGTTGTTTTCATGTCTCGCCTGGCTTTTACTTTATTCTAAGTGCTCTTGTACTTTCTTGCTTCTTTATTTTGCATGTGCTGTTGGTTCCACTGGCCCAGAATGTTTGCATGATTTAGGCCTACTCAGTTTGTGTCTTTGATACACATACTCACAGCAATTGGTCCACTCCAGATATGTGGAGAGCTCATCAAGCCCCCTATAGCTATGTGAGCTCTGAGAAATTCCTGTTAAATCCCTGCCTACTCTGCAAATCCATTGCTTGCCCCAAACACTCACAATAGCAAGGAAGCAGAGCCACCTGCCATCCATGTTTGCTTGCTTGCCGCTGAGCTCACCAGTTTAACTTCTAATGCTCTAAATCAATCAAGCCTCCTCTGGCCAAAGCAGCAAGACTGTTGTTGGTTTTCATGTTCTGCCTCAACCAAGGTGAACCTCTGTGCCAACAGAACTGATGTGGGGACATGACAGTAATCCCAGGCAGGAACAGCAAGCCATGTTATTGATCTCTGAAATACAGTGGCTTTCATAAATAAGCACTTTGCAGCTTGTAGTATGCCTTTATTATTATTTCTAGAGTGCCAAGTTATTCTTTTGAAAGACTTGTACAGCTTTATACTTACTTTTTGGGGAGAGGATGTGTCAACCTCCTTACTCCATCATGCTGAAGTAAATCTTAATTTTATCTCTCAAAAAATATCGAGAATTCCACCCAGAGTCTTAGTAATGTATCTAGTTTCCATGGTTAAATGATTCAGGATCCCAAGAATAACATTTTACTTTTGAGACCTCTAGAGAAGTGACAACCACATAACTGACAAAGTTAACTCACAGCGGACCAGGGTTTCCTGTATTTTGTATATAGTATTATATTTTAGAATACATTTTTGTATGTAGACTAGCTCCTGTGTTTTGGAGTTGTTTTCAACCTTACTTCATAACTTAATTGACATATTTTTCTTTTAATTTCAGAGTTCAGTTAAGTTCCTTATGTCCTCCCCTGAAATTGCTTCCCTATCATGGGGGCAAATGAAAGTACAAGGCTCTACTAAAACCTATAAGGACTGCAAAGTGTGGCCAGGGGGAAGTCGGGCTTGGGACTGGAGAGAAACAGGAACTGAGGTAAGCTATGAGTGTGTGGTTGACACTGCATGAGGCTGACCAAATGATTTCCAACCTCCTAAGCCATAATGACCAAGTAAAAAGTAACTATTCCTCTCTCTCTGTCTCTCCCCCTCCCTCTCCCTCTCCCTTTCCCTCTCCCTCTCCCTTGCCTTCTCCCTCCTCCTCTCACTTCCCCACCCAGAGGTATAACTCAGGTACCATTAACTCACCCTTTTAAATTATGCAATTCAATGGACTTTCTATTGTCATACACTTGTACAGTACTTACCACTAATTCCAGAATATACTTACCACCCCAAAAGGAAACCTCATAACCATTAGCAGTCACTTCTCTTCCCTCCCCCCAACTCCTACAACTACTAATCTACTTTTTTTTGTTTTTAAGATTTTATTTTTTTAAGTAATCTCTACACCCAACTTGGGACTCAAACTCACGACCCCAAAATCAAGAGTCACATGCTCTACTGACTAAGCTAGCCAGGAGCCCCTAATCTACTTTCTGTTACTATAGATGTGCTTATTCTAGACTTTTCATGTGAACAAAATCATTCAATTCTCTTAGGTATATACCTAAGATTGGAAATGCTGGGTCATGTGACAACTCTATGTTTAATTTTTTGAGGAACTGCCAAATTGTTTTACAAAGATTTTAGAAATTATGGAGGTTCCAATTTTTCTAAATCTCTCCTGGTTTTTTTTTGTTGTTGTTTTTATTGTATCATCTGGGTGGGTGTGAAACATTATCTCGTTGTGGTTTGAACTTGCATTTTCCTTGTATTGTACTTCCTACAGGATTCTCACTGTGCCATACCCAGGTAGACTCTCCCAAGCTAGAGGTTGGGTGAAAGAAGGGAGCCCCTACCTCTCAACCACATTCACTTAGGACTTCTCGGCAACAGACAGCTGAGAGCAGGATGAGAAATACTTAAGTCCTGTTCCTCCCAGGAACAAAGCCTTCCAGCTGGTAGCTGAAAGGGGAAACAGCTCTGTGTTGTGGGCTGATGCAATCCAGTGGAGTATCCACCTCACTGGCTGGGAGTGGAGAAGCAGGCAGCAGTCTTCCTGAGAAACCATAGATATTCACCTTGCCTACCAAATATTTATAGAATTTCTTGAAGAGATGTTTTTCTTTTTCTGGTTTTTTGAGTTTATTTAGAGAGAGCGAGCGAGTGGGGGAGGGGCAGAGAGAGAACACAAGACAGGATCCCATGCAGGCTCCGTGCTGACAGTAAAGAGCCCAGTGTGGGACTCGAGCCCACAAACTGCGAGATCATAACCTGAGCTGAAGTTGGATGCTTAACTGACCGAGCCAAACAGGCACCTCAAAAGATGTTTCTTCATTTGCTGTTTGCTCTTAGAATCATTTCCAAAGGCTTTGAGTGGTATTCTTTTTTCCAATTTTTTTTTGGGGGGGGGTGGTTAAAATTTGTCTTTTGTTTGTGTGTGTGTGTGTGTTTTAGTTTTTGTTTCCTTTTTTTTTTTTTATTTTTTTTAACGTTTTATTTATTTTTGAGACAGAGAGAGACAGAGCATGAATGGGGGAGGGGCAGAGAGAGAGGGAGACACAGAATCGGAAGCAGGCACCAGGCTCTGAGCCATCAGCCCAGAGCCCGACGCGGGGCTCGAACTCACGGACCACGAGATTGTGACCTGAGCTGAAGTCGGACGTTTAACCGACTGAGCCACTCAGTCTCCCCTAGTTTTTGTTTCCTTTAATAATTTTCATTTTGGAGGAGGTTATGGAGCTCCTCATACTGTAATGATGAAAGTTGATCCTTCAGTTTTAAAGGATAATTTTGCTTGATACATAATTCTTGATTAATAGTCTTTTTCTTGGGGTGTCTGTGTGGCTCAGTCAGTTAGGTGTCCAACTTGGGCTCAGGTCATGATCTCATGGTTCATGAGTTTGAGCTCCACGTCAGGCTCTATGCTGACAGCGCAGAGCCTGGAGCCTGCTCAGATTCTGTCTCTCTCTCTTTCTCTCTCTCTCTCTCTCTCGCTCTCTCTCTTTCTCTCTGGCCGTTTCCTGCTCATGCTCTCTCTCTCTCTCAAAAATAAATAAACATTAAAAAAAATTTTGTTTAAGTCTTTTTCTTTTGGCCCTTTGTGTATGTCATCCCACTTTTTTGGCTTCATTGTTTACTAATGGGAAACCCAACTGTTAAAGTTCTTCGTTGGACTTGACAGGTCATTCCTCTCTTGCTGCTTTCAAAATTCTTTGTCTTTTGTTTTTGACAGTTTCACTGTGATGTGTCTACATGTGGATCACTTTGAATTTATCTTATGTGGAATATATTGAGCTTTTTGGATATGTGCATTGTTGTTTTCGTCAAATTGGGAGGATTTTCAGTCATTCTTCAAATATCCCTTCTGCCCATTCTGTCTCTCCTCTCCTTTGATAGCCATTATGAGTATATTGGTATTTTAGATGGTAGTCCCTCAGATGTCTGAGGCTTTGTTCATTTTCTTCATTCTTTTCCCTTTTTTCTCACATTGTATAATCTAAATTAATGTATTTTTCACTTTTGCTGACTCTTACCTTCTGTTGAGCCTTTTTAGTGAAATTTTCACTTCAGTTATTATATTTTTCAACTCCAGCATTTCTATTTTGTCCTTAAAAAATAATTTCTATCTCTTTATTGATATTCTTTAATTTTTAAGGTATTGTCCTTATACTTTCCTTTAGTTCTTTGAATATAGTTTCCTGAGATAATATTTGACAGAGATTTCCTTATATGCCTGGAACCAGTAGGTATTCCAGTGTTTGCTGAGGGGCTCTGTTTGCAGTTTGCGGTATGTAGTCAACACTCAGCCAGGCAGTTTAAAATTATGCCTATTTAGGGGTGCCTGGGTGGCTCAGTTGGTTGAGCGTCCGACTTCAGCTTAGGTCATGATCTTGCGGTCCATGAGTTTGAGCCCCACATCGGGCTCTGTGCTGACAGCTCAGAGCCTGGAGCCTGCTTTGGATTCTGTGTCCCCCTCTCTCTCTGCCCCTCTCCCACTCATGCTCCATCTCTCTCTAAAGTAAATAAACATTAAAAAAATAATAAAATAAATAAAATAAAATAAAATTCTGCCTATTTCTTGCTTATGCTGAGTCTCAAGATTAGCCAGAGTGGTGTGTATAGGGCCTTCTCATGTCATTCCTGAGCATATGCACAACCCTGGACATGTGTATCACCATTTCAATACCAAGGTTCATATCAGAGTTTTTCAGAGCCCTCTATGGAGATCTCATTTCCCAGTTTTCCCTTTTGAGTTTTTTGGTTAACCTTGTTTGCCCTGCTATCTAACGCATCAGGCAGCTGCACTGTTAAACATTTGTCTCTGACAGTTTTGGACAAACTTCTTTGAGGGGAAAAAGAGGTTTATACTGGCAAACTCCAAGTCAGATCAAATAAAGACAACCTATGAATTGGGTTTTCCAGAGAACCATCAGACAGGTCAAATAATGACAGTTTTTTAGGAGAGGAGATTTGAAGGAGTTTTATTCTGTTACTCCATCTTGTGACTTCCAGGCTGGTAGTTTTCACTGTGATTGTGGGTTGTTGCTTTTCAAGGCTACCAGAGAACTAGGGAAGGAGAAAATTGGAATAGGGCAAGTTAAAACTGCACAAAGCTCACTTTTCAACTGTGTTTTTTTAAATAAACACATCCTGAATTTTTGGAGACCTTTGTTAACTTCCAGAGAACAGAGTAAGTTTATGTTTACACTTTTGCCAGTAGTCTCATTGCTTTTATGAAGAAGAGGATTTTCAGAGGTTCTTCACAACACTTTCACGGATGTCACTCAGAAGTAACTACTTTGGATTCATACTTGTGCAGTGGTGTGCTGGACCTGGCTTTCACTGGCTTGTGAGAATTGATTGTTAAATTTTCAGGAATTTTGTAAGCCAGCTTTTTTTTTAAGTTTATTTGCTTATTTTGAGAGAGAGAGAGAGAGAGAGAGAGAGAGAGAGAGAGAACAGGAGGCACAGAGAGAGAGAGAAGGAGAGAGAGAATCCCAAGCAGGCTCTGCACTGTCAGCATAGAGCCCAATATGGAGCTCAGTCTCACAAACTGTGAGATCATGACCTGAGCCAAAACCAAGAGTTGGACGCTTAACCAGCTGAGCCACCCAGGTGCCCATGCAAGCCAGTTTTTAGACACACCCATTATTAAAAACTAAATTATATAAACTTAAATAAGGTTAAAACATAGGTAATACATATTTAAAATTCATTAATTCCTAAATATTTTACTACATTCTTTGCTCTTGAAGTTATTTACATCTGTTGTTATCTGTATGGTAAAAATACTATGTTATATATGCTACTGTATATCTCTTATTAACTCTGCATTCAGTGATGTCACATTGGTATCTTAAAGTCAAACATGGTGGGAGTGTTTACACCACAGAAACTGGAAAACACTACATATTGGGGCTTTTTTTTTTCTTTGTCTTTTGAACTTTATGGCTTTTAAAAAATTTTTATGGGGGCACCTGGTTGGTTCAGTCGGTTAAGCATCTGACTCTTGGTTTCAGTTCAGGTCATGATCTCACAACTTATCAGATTGAGCGCTGCATCGGGCTCAGTGCTGATGGTGCAGAGTCTGCTTGGGATTCTCTCTCTCCCTCCCTGCTCCTCCCCTGTTTGCATTCTCTAAATAAACAAACTTATAAAAAATAAAAAAAAATTTATGGCTTTAAAAATTGCATTATTAAACATAATAAGTTTAATTCATTGCAAATTATTACCCATATTATCCATTTAATTAAATGGGTAAATTAAATTACCATTCCAATTAAAAAAAATCTTAGAAATAGAGTTTGATCCCTTTCCCTCCACCCATATCAAAGTATTTCCTTTATACTTTTCAAATATCTATCTGTATCCACAACCCATAATTTGTATTGTTCTTCATGTTCAAATTTTTATATTAATGGTATCATCTGTTGTCCACCTTTTTTTTTTTTTTGTATTGAGGTTTTATTCTGCTTTTGTGTCTCCCTTTTT